TATATTTGAAAAAGGACTTTTTATTATCTTTGATCTTGGACACTAGTCCTAGCTCTATGTCCGCCTTAGCTTTCCTAACAGCCCCCCTACAGGCCCAAGCAGTGGAGATATACTCTTCTTTGGAGCTAGTACCCCCCTTCCACCGGGTATATGCCACCTTTTTGGCAACCATGCGTTCCCAGACTTCCTTTGTGAGCCAGGGAGGCTTTTGGGCACTCTTGCCCCCCTTGCTTCTTGTTGGGATTGTCACCTCTTAGCCCCTGAGTATCGTCTCCTTAAGGAACAACCACTCATCTTGGGCACTGAGTTCCCCTGCCCTCCCAAACCCCAGAGCCTCTCCCACCAATCTCCTCAACTCGTTGAAGTTGGCCCTCTTGAAGTCTAGGGCTACCGCCTTGCTGCAGGCCCTTGTCACCCTGCGCTGGATGATGAATTCCAGCAAGCGATGATCGCTATCACCCAGGTGGTCAAGGACCTGGAGCCCCCTGACCAGATCATCGCCTGTGGCCAGGACCAGGTCCAACAGGGCATTTCCTCTGGTGGGACTGTGCACCTCCTGGGTTAAGTGAAGGTCCTGTATCTCAGCCAGGAACCTCCTAGAATGGTCCGACATGGCTGCTGGGTCCGACATTACCCAGCAGATGTCCGGGTAATTTAGATCACCCATGACAACTACATCCCTTGTCTTAAGTGCCTCTTCCTTTCTTTAAAAAAATGCTACACCTTATATAGAGCTGTTGGGCTCAATACCAGAATATTAGGCAAGGTTCTGGCCCATATTATCCTGGATGTTGAGAATGGATGATTATAGACAGACAAACATAGTACCCCAAGGAGAGTTTTCCCTCATAAATGGAGAAAGGCCAGGAATAAAGCCATAGAAAACACTAAAGATTTTGGTATTCCTCTTGATTTTTTATATAAGATGTTCAGGTACTGTGCTGGTGGGTGTGTTGGTGGATAGATGGATTAAATAAATAAATGGATGGATGGATGAAATAAAGCACTTAGTTTTGAGCTAGTTCAGCACAAAAATGCATATGTCCAACCTGCCACCATAGCTCATGAGAAATGCATTGTTACCCCATTTTTCTCCATCAGGTCAGGCCCCCATCTTGACTCGCAGGATGCATTGTAGCAACTCAATTCACCACAACACTTCAGTGCTTTCTTGGAAACACAATATAAGCTAGGAACATAAGACATATGAAAGAATGGGGCCAGAAGGCCACCACAGCGGTTTAGGCAGTCAGGTTGAATGGGCCCAAAATGATTCAGTTCACCAAGCCAAGCTGTTCCAATTCAAGACACCTTGACCTGAAACAAAATAGAAAAATCAACATAAATTTTCACATGGGAGACTTTATTTTTCAGAAACTGCATTTTCTGCTATAAAAGTGTTGTTGGAAAATTCCCAAATGGTTTTAATAAATAGAATTAGGCCCATAAACTTCTTCCACAATTCTCTGGTTTTCTCTCTTTGCTGCTTGGACCAAGAAACAGGGAGGAGACAAGAGCATAAGAAGAAATGAGGAAGGGGAAAAAATGTGTTTCTTCAAATGTAATGCATCTAACTGAGAGGCAGAGGAGTAGCTTCAAAACCTGTGTGCTAGTAGGAGATTGCAAAACTTGTTTCTTCAGTCACAGGAAAGCTGTACTTACGTTATGTTTTATGCTTACTACTAGATTGACCTTCGTGATGACCCCAAAACTTTGGCTCGACTGCTCTATATGAAGGAGAAACCCCTCACTTATGAACACGGAGTGAAGCTAGCTAAAGAGGTATCACTGCTGCACAAGACCCCAAAAACAGAGACTACAGCTAGTCTGGCTTATTGCTTCACAATTTGATTCTTTCATTTTTTTATCCTTTCTTGGACTCAAACTATAACCTCAAACCCAAACAGACCGTACCTTGAGCTTGTCACTTGCCTTAGTGTCACTATTTGATGAGCACACCAATGAATCTATGGTACATAACTAGCATGTGGCGGTACATTTTCTCTATCAATGAGAAATCTGAACAAAATGAAATATCTTTCTTTGATTAAAGAACATCCACTACAGTATTTTAGTACATGTAGGAATAGCTACATTGATGTAGCATATGCTATTTTCCACATCTTGATAAATCAGGCTGCACATGGTGGAAAACATTCATTTAAATGAGCTTATCAGGGCAACCTGTGGTTTTTCTGAACAAAAGGTCACATCAGTGTTCAGCAGAGGAGTGCATTCCACTTCTAAAAATATGAATTTTTACAGATGCTGAGCTGTTCCATTTAGCCTGCAGCGTTCAAAACAAATTGGGAAGTTTTCATCCAGGTCAGAGCTTGCCCAAGGTTTCAGCATTATTGGGTCGGGTGTTTTGGACAGGTGAACCTCTATGATAGGTTTGTCAAACTCCCTCTGTACCTCAAGCCAGATCTAGTCCCCAGGACTCCTCATACATCAGATCCACAGGGCAAATGGCAGTGGTGGCAGATCAAGTGGCTACAGGGCAAACTTGGTATCAGCACAGCCCTCGCTCGCCCACCTACCACCCATGCCCATGTCCAATGGAGCCCCAGGGCCCTGGATTCTGTGACAGGCTTCAACCCCTCCCCCCACCCCGGCACACCCCCAAATGCCCTGATAGGCCTTATGTTTGATAGCCCTTCACATAGCTTCCTAAAAACTGATCTCAAGAATCTCTCTAGTACTATATGGGCCATAGACTTCTATTTTACAAGATCAGCTTCTCTGTTTTGTAGTTTATTACTGGTCTAAGTAGTCAGCAGGGAAGGTGGAAATGACTATGAAAATATACCTATACGAATGCCTGCAGTATGTGCACCTATATATCTGACTTGTCACCCTAGAGACATTGGTTGTGCTGGCCTTTACAGTAAACTCCAATTCACCTATGAGATAACTCACCACTGTGGTTTACTTCACTATTAAGCTAATTCCCTATGCTTCCTGTACAATGATAATTGGTCACTACTGGATAATTCACAGTCACCTTGGGGTGATGAATTAACAGGGGTTTGCTGCAATCAGATGGCTCTAAAGGACCAATCAGAGGCTGAGCACTTGAATTTATCCAAATTCATTTTTGTGGGCTCTGCATTTGCACATTGTGGATAGAGCTTTGCCTACAGAAGTGGGCAGCTTCCAGCTCAGTAGTAGGCTCCCCTATAAACCCTAATCTGATACTGCCCCTTTACATGGAGAAGCGGAGGAAGCAGACCAAGGCACAGAGAGACATCAAAAGGCAGCATATTTGGGCTGTGTTTCTTGGCTGCGCCAATGCCTCCTGGAAACCCTTTGCGTCTATGTGGATGCGAGGTTGCAGGGGCTGAATTCACAGCTGCTTCTGCTCAGAGAAACTTGCTACTCAGTGCAATATTTCCTAGGAAGCTCCAAACTGTTACACCCAGACCTTCTCTTCCTGGCACAACCCAACCTACGACACTTAGTAGCTCCAGTTCTTTCTCTGGGTTTACTGTTTTCCCCCCACTTTCTCCCTTCCAGTGGGTCTCACAGTCATCCCACACTAGGAAAGAAGTCAGGTATAAGTCAGAGCTGGGACCTAAACCGCACTTAAAGCCTTGGCTCGTTCCATGTCGTGGAATTCTATGCATACAAGAATTGCAAGGTCAGACATTTATATGGATCATAAGCACACGTGTGTCTCCTATTTCCCTGTTCTCCAAGCCGTGCATACTTACAGTCTCTTTCTCTCTCTCTCATTTAAGATTGGAGCACAGTGTTACTTGGAATGTTCAGCCTTGACACAGAAAGGTCTTAAAACAGTCTTCGATGAAGCAATCCTCACCATTTTTAACCCAAAGAAGAAGAAAAAACACTGCATGAAGTGCCATGGCTGCTGCACAGTTGTATGAGGTCACTTGAGAAGCAAAGCAAGACAATGCTAATGTTCAGTTCAACCACGCAGGCTAGAATGTCAACGAGAGGCGCACACAACTTTAATGGGGAACATGACCAGAAAGGAGTCCTATTTAATCATATAGGATTCCTCCATTCTGTGAAACCTCCAAGCTGTACCATGGTAGGCCAACTAATGTTTATTTGCTTTCCTAACCCTACAGAGCTATCTGCAGCCTGTTCCCACATTATGCTAGACTGCACTGAGCCAGTATGAAACATGATGCCTGCTAACAGCCAACTCCATGAATCAGATGAAGGTTCTGTGTGTAAAATTTGAAAGACACTATAATGGAACCAAAAAAACCTTCATTTGAAGCCTTAAACACAAGTTGATCAAAAGTATGAAGCTACAATATTTAGGAATTGAATATGAACGGATCAAAAGCACACAAAGTTCTTTCAAGGTTTAATATGCAAGATATACATTATAAGCAGGATATACTTTCAAATAACTTTTCTTTATAGAAATATAGGATTGGGGCAGGGGACTTCCCAGGCCCCTAAGCTCAGTCCAATATAAGATATTTGTTAATTTCAGGATCTACTTTACTTTGTCTACATAAACGAAAACAAATGTTGCTTTCACGTTAACATAGCCGATATCCATCTATCACTGCACTCGGACTATCAGAACTGATCAACATTTACCTCCAGACTTAAGGAATGTTCTTTTTATTAAAAAAATGCAGATAACTGTATTCATGGAAATGTACAGGCTGAGCCATCTTCTCAAAAGCTGGGAGAGGGGAAACAATCTTAGTGAAAAACATGAAAACAAAGAAATTGTGTTACCAAAGAATATTGTAATAGATGTGAGGTATCAGCGTGGAAGAACCTTCCTTCCAAACTCAGAACGTCAAAGGGCTGCATTTGTAAATGCAGTTGCACATTTACTGTATAGACCAGGTTGATTTCCACACCTCCCCCAGCAAGCGACAACAAAACCAGACCATGCCAAAGCTCACGTTGATTTTAAGTGCTTTACAATGATCCAATTGCCTTATATGAAATAGCTTTCTAAAGATGCTCTCATGGAAAGTAATTAACTCAAATGGAGTTTCAAGCATGTCTTAATGGTAGTCATCTTTCTGCTATTCACTGTTTTGAGAGGTTGTTGGGGGTTTTTTCCTCCCATGCTCATTATTCTACATGCAACATTTAAGGTATAGTGTGGGTCTGATACTCAGGAACTTTCTTTCATGCAATTTGCAGAATGATGTGCTGCAGCATGTAGTACTGAAACAGGAAACCTAAATCTTAAGGGAATGAAAGCTGACAATAAGCATTCTCTGCTGTTGAATAAAGCGTGCCTTTTCACCGCGGCTTCTCCAGGGAGCCTGTTGTTTTGCACATCACAGTACAATGCTGTTACAATACAGACACTGAGAGATGAACTTTAAGGGTGTCTTATTACTTGCATCTGCCTACAAGTACCCTGGAAATGCCCATGTAACTGTCTTGTTATGGATTTCATTTCTGATAACGCCTCTCCCAGGCATAACATTTCAGTGCTAGCACATCTGTGTTTCTAGTCTCAGAATGTAAATCCCTGACAAAAGCAACTTCCAGAGTTGAAATTTCCAAATACCGTTTGAATAAATAATGTTACTGCACCCAATCACCCCAGGGAAGTAATGGCAAAAGAACAACAGACTCTCCTCTGCCCTGCCATTATTTGGAATAGCCAGCACTCTCCTTTTTGGAAGGCCTGTACTGTGCTCCAGCTTGCACAAGGGCAACTGAAAACCTCTGCCATTAAGGGAAGGTTATGGAACCAATCCCATGGAACCAATGGGATTTGGAGTAAGGCCCAAAATAAGCAACAGCCTAGATACAGGGCTTGACTCTGCACCTATTAAATCAAAGGCAAAATTCTCTTGTGATGATGATACTTGCAAACTTTTTGAAACAGATAGTTACAGCAAGGGCATCCTAAATCAGTGGGAAACCACCTGTTGAAGATATAATGGCAAACGACTCAATTTCTGTTCAATAACTGCAACTCGCTATCCCCTACAGCCCCATGAAGTTTGTGTTCGCTGTGCTATTGATCTCAATGGGAGTAGGGTCAGGCACTCCCAAACTGTACATGGGAGTAGAGATCACCAATTAGCTCTTCTATACAAGCGTGGCCAGGTGAATTTGCAAAGAAGTGCATTTTATTATAACAGTGCCTGGTAAAACTGCACTAACCATCTCTTCCTCATGGTGCATTCACTTGGCTGAAAATGTAGTTATGGTAAATTACTGATGCTGAAGAATGTCTGGAGATGTCCTTGCAGCTCAGGTATACGTCCCTAATGAGCACCCATAGCCGTTTCATTGTCAAAGAGTTTCTCTTTAAATATGCTAACAAAAAGGTTTGGGAAAACGTGGCTCAGGTGGAGAGAGAGCGCAGAGTTGATGCAAGTTACTTTTTCATAAAGTTTCCTTCAATGTGAAAGGACCGGTGGCTTGGAATTAAGTGACAGCATCAATTTCATACCTTTGCTGCCATGCAGCTACTATGGGCAGCGGTGGGAATTCTTTTAGATGGTACACAGGATGCCAAGTAAATTAATATGAATATAAAGATATCTGAGGAGCAACCAGAAAGTTCAGACAGAATGGATACATGAGTACTTAGCAAATAGTTTACTTACCTAGGGTCCAACCCAAAACCTACTGAAATTCTGCAGATGCTGTATCTCGACTTTAGAGGTGAACCAGGCTCTGGCTGAGGTTGGCAGTTGATTTCAATGGAAGTAAATTGGGATGCTTGTTTTATTCCCTATGAATTGCTAGATGCAGAGTACATACTTACGTAGAAGCAAGGTAGAAATAGATGCCAAGTCTGTTTTAGCTGAACTGCAACCCAAGTCCTAAGGTGGGGGCTGCCAGATATTTTTATAGCTTCTCAAAATGAAGAGAAAATAAAATTCTAGACTGACAGCTCAGTTTAAGACATAACGAGAACATTGGAAAAGTGCAATGCAATATTCTCAGCATACATCTGAGGAAGCCACAAATAACTGAATGATAGTTTGTGTGTGCTGCATAATATCAGTGACATATGATAAATCAAAAGGAAATCAAAATCAATTTCACATAAAAAGGAAATTGCAACTTGTAACATTAACATAACTGCAGTAGTTTGCAGAAATTAAATAAAAAAAGACTCTGATAGTAGAGGCTAAAAAGCTAATGGCTCAGTATATTAAAAATGCAGAAACTCCTACAAATTGTAGAGGAATATTATTTAGGAAAAAGAATATTTTAATTAATGCAAGGCAAGACATTTTTTACACTTATAGAGTGAAATAAATCAATTTTGCTGGGTGACATATTTATACGTTAAAGAAATACGTGCAAGTTGCTAATGACCAAAATTTGACCCTCTTCAAAAAAGAAATAGCCTTTGAATTCGGTGTATTTTTTGTTCCATGCCATAGAGAAGGAATGTTTTTAAAGCAGCCATTATTTATGTAGGTCCTAAAGGCCTCTTTAATTACTCCCCTAGTGTTTTCAAGGAAGTACATCTTTATGTACAGAGCAGCATTTGTGAAAGCAGCTACCCAGTTGTATAACTACATTAACCTTTTGTGATGAGAGCAACTCAACTTCCACAGGCAAACATAAGCTTTAGAAGCCCAAACTGATGTTCTTCCCAAATACGGTAGGCAGAGATAAGGAGATCCTTTGAAAATCTAGCCAATAGTTAATTGTGTTTTTCTGTTACAAAGACAGCAGATGACAGCACCGATGATGCTAAGGAAGAAACAAGGGAAGGAACAGAAACAACAGATCATTTTCAAGCACCATTAGGAACAAAAAGAAAATATACAGGTTTTCCCAGTGAAAGCAGACAGGTCACCTGGTTTTAAAATACTGAGAGCTTGTAGCTTCCCCTGGAATAGAGGCTCTGAATTGATAATAAAGAAAATGGTATTTTAAGGCTTAGGAGAGTAAGTAAAGAGTAACCGCTCCAGGAAACTACTTGACAATGACCCTTTTACTCAATTGATACCAGTGCCTTTTCTGAGATACCTGCTACCTTCATTAATATAGCCAATGATCATTTCAAATGCATTTAAATATCAAAAGAGCATGCTAGATCCTAGCAAACTCATCTGCCTTGGCCCTTTTTGAAACCTTAGTATTCTACAAGATTTGGTTTTAATTCATAACAGAAGGGTGAATAGGGTTCTAGCAAAGGACCAAAAAAACCCCAAAAACCAAAACCCCCAAACCAAAATTAAGCCTTTCGATTACACCAGGTCTATTCCAACACAGTATGTATATCATGTAGGATAGGACACCAATTACATACTGTGTCTAACCAGCCCTGCATGTCAGTGCAGTCGGTTAAAATCACACTTCCAGGCTGCTCCAGGGCAGCCAAACTGAGCGCTCAAACTGACAATCCAGACCTGAATGCCTGAGCTAGGAGCCTGCATGCACTTCATTGCTCTGCCTTTCAGGACACGTCTGCACCATACAAAGCAAAGGTGGAGACACTAGCCGGGGTAGGGCATGCCCGGCAGAGTAGGGGCTAGTCCGGTCCCAGAGCCTGAGTCAGCCTGGGTTTCTCAGCACAGCACCGTTCTGCGCTGCGTAGACGTGCCTTTAAATGCCTTCTGCCACAGGTAGCATGCAACATGCAAAGTACCATCTGTTACCCCAGATCAAGAAGCCAAATGTTTTTCTCATGCTCTACCTAAGGAAGGGACAAAGCTAAAAAAACACTGAAGTCAGTATGAGTCTTTCCTTTGACTTGAGTGAGCTTTGGCTTCAACCCTAAAAGCCATTAATAATCCAGAAACTGAAACCTAAGCATTACTCAAGAGCCAAGACTTGGCTACACTTGCTTGCACTACATTGCACCTTATTTTTCAAGGAATTCTCTCAACTCCAACTTTCCCATGGCCTGTTCCACGGGAGTAAGAGCGGCAGGATCCTCAGCCAGCTGTCCTGCTATGTAGAGAAGCCCATTTAATTAATTCCTGAATCAGTTATGTTTGGCCATAAACACTTGTGGTTCTCATGCCAAAAAGACAACCCATTTTCTGTAGGTCCTTTCCCTTCCCCTGTAAGCAGCACACTCAGCACTGTGCTCCATCACGTCTAGCACCGAAACAGTCCCTGGTAGCAGAGCCCCAACATTTCAGCAAACTTCTGGAAACAAAGTAGTGAATAAATGTGGAAGGGGCTGAGGCAAAAAACAAACCCCTGATGTGACCCTGCCAAACCAAAGCAAATCACTCCCAATAATGGATGTCTTAGTGCTGCCCTGAGCAGTTTTAGGGTTGTAACGAGCAAGTGGCTGCATCTTGTTGTGGAAAAACCTACCTTTTGTGCAAAGTAGCTGTGTCAGTCATCCAGGGCTCTGCTCATGGGGTGCATGTACTTTATATCACACTGATAGTAGTGCAGGCCTTGAACAAGATACTCAAAGTGGCCTATGTCTCTGGGTAACCAGTTTGAGATCCCAGTCCTCTGAATTTTAGACCCACTCTGAGCTATCTCAAATTGGAGACCCAGAGAGTGAGGCATCCACAGTCACTTGTCACATCTGAAAATCTTGGCTTTTTGCAATAGGAAACTTCAGCCACTGGTGACCATCCAGCAGCGCATCCTTGGTGCAAGCCGCCATATGTCACTAGAGCAATTGCTTGAAACCAGGGGCAGCAGCACTGATACAAAACATGTTTTATAGCTTAGCCCTTCAGTAAGACAGCTATAAGCTGTATTGGCACAAACACCAACAGCTGCAACAGATGGTGAGGACAAGATCTGTGAAAAGTTTGCTGTCTGTTTCCATAATCCATCTCCCCTCACTATCACATCAGCCAGTTATGCAACACTGGCAGCATGATGGGAGGTTATATAGGGAAAAACTCTTCAGCTGAGGTTTCTCATCCTGCTGGCTGTTGCTACCTGAAACATTTCTCTCTCTCCTCACTGGATGCTGCTCATATGCCCAGTTCAGCCCCGTATTTAGTCATAGCTCCTGGCCCTTTCCACAGCTTTCCACTGCAAAGGGGGAACAATACAAGTACTTCATCTGGCTCAAAGCTAAATGAAAATGTCTCTGGTTCTTGTTTGCAGTGAACTAAGTTTGTTTGCAAACACATTTGCAACATGGCATCAGAATAATGCAGCATACCCTCTTGATGCCACGGGAATTATTTGTTACACAGATGGTAGAATACATGTGTCTAATTTCACCTGTTTTGTTCTTTATATTTACCTGTCCCAGGAAACTTTGTCATGTTTTAAGTGCTGGTGAAAAATCTGTAAATGACAGAACTCTCCTCTTAAGTACAGACAATCAAAAAGACTGCATTAATTCAGTCTTTGCAGGTTAGTCTAAGATGCATAGATTGAACCAATAAGCAAGTGAACAGACATTCCCTTTTGTTTCCTGAAATGCAGCCACATGAGTGCAGTGGACCAGGCAGAAGTCCCGGGAGGCTAGAGCTCCACTGGAGCAGACAACTTGGGCCAAGGCTAGCCCACCCACCCTCTAAGTGAGGGTTTGCAGGGGATGTGCAAAGCATCCTGGGATGCTGGGGGACTGTGAGTTAACTTGAATCTGGAGCAGATCTGGGACAGAAGTTCAATAAACCAGTTTAACCTAAATCAGTTAAGTCTGATACTACATCTATCCTGATTTATCTTAAACTGGTTTCAGCCGTTTTGAAAGTGGTTTATGTGCACTTAACTTCTGTTGTGTTACAGATTTCAACTGGTTTCCAATCACTTATATTGGTTTATGGGCAATTTCTGTTCCTAGCCTCCCGGTTTGTAGCTCTAGCAGGAGAGGAACAGCATTTCTAATAGGAGGTGAGATCAAAACAAACTAGATCAAAGAGACTTTCTAGGGATATCTGTACCCTGCGTAAAAATGAACAAAAAAATGTTATCAATTCAAATATTTGTAAGGGAATAAAGACCCCCCCTGAAATCAATGGGAAGGGATTCATTGTTTTCCAAGGCGCAAGTCTGCAATCTGAGTTCTCTTCCTAGAGCACAGTGAAATTAACCAAGTATAGACATTTTTTGCACAGTAAAGATGGGATTAAAAAGTTAATTAGGAATAATGCATGCAGTACAAGAGTAGAATTTACTTTTCTACATTAGGCAGAAACACAAAGTCAAATTCAGGAGGCATAATTTGTAGCTTTGGGCCCTAACATTAAGTTACAATATCTAAGGAAGAGTCCAAAAATTATTATTAATAAAAATGCTTTCCATCTATATATTTTTAATTTTAGTTAGAATTTGTATTTGTCATGGAGGGAAATATAAACTTTCCTACGTACTTCTGGGAACCCAAACACAACAGCAGAAAAGATAGTACATAAAACATCCTATAAGCCAAAACAAATTTAAATTTAACAAATTTAAATACCCACACCGGAAAAAAAGCGGCGGGGAGGTTAAAATTCTTTTGATTTTTTTTTTAAGTCTCTTTAAATAGGAGGATGCCAATAAACTTAAAGCACCTTGATAGAATCATTTCATTAGACATCTCTTACTCCATAGAGTAGAATACATTCCATAACTGAATCTTCTGATTCAAATATACTCTCTTTTGAGTTATTATCGTCCTTCAGGAGCTAATGGAAAAATTCTATGGGAGGCAATGGCCACGTCTACATGAGACACTGACTGCACAGTTGTTACTACGCAGTCATTTAGTACTTGCAGATACAAGTGGATTTTAAGTGATGCTGACTGCACAGTAGCTCATTACTACTGTGCGCATCACATCATGCTTCATATTTGTGAGCTACTGTGCAGTCAGCGTCTCCTGTAGACACAGACAATGTGGAGTGATTTGAACACTTCTAAGCTTTTTCTCCAATTTTTTCATCTATAGACCATCCAACTGTTGAGGAGATGGTCACAATAAGTCAGTTCCATCCCATTTTCTAGCTATATCCAGGAGATTCCATCATTGCCAATGAAGAGCTGAAATGACCCGATCATATAGAAACATATAGACATTCTTTTCTTGTTATATAACTGTACTGCAGTTTTCCTTCCCCATCACCACTCTACTTAGTAAATCTGTATGATTCAGTTAATCTATAAGGCACCTCTCTACCCTGCTTTCTGCCTAATAAATCTGTGTACACCCAGCTGAGAAAAATACCATTATTTTTATTTTATAATTTTCATCTCTAATGAATTTTATTAAAAAGTGCCAGTGTTTAAAAAGAAATCTTTTGGATGGAAAACAAAACAGTTTTTGATAAAAGATTCTGGTCTCAAAAAAATTAAATAAATCACAAAATAGAAAAATATTTTTAGGTTTTGGCTTCTGCTTTTCCATCCAAACACAAAAAGCTTTTCCAAAATGAAAATTGATATGAAAACAATGGTTTTGATAAAAAAAACCGAATACTTTTCATCAAGAAAATGTTTCAATGAAAAGACTTTGTTACACATTAATTTTAGGCAGCTCAGGGAGTGGGGGTGTGCGAAATGGGCCATGTTTGATTTGGATTTGGCCTGAAATTGGGAACAGTGATTTGATTTGTTGATTCGGATCACTGTCCCTGATTCAATTCAGCCGAATCTGAAGATTCAATGCTGATTCAGAGAATCAACGATTGGGCCATAGACACAGCTTTAAATGTTTTTCTACATACCTCAAGATACCAGGCATGGCTCATGAACGCCGCGATGCTGGGGCAGATGCAGCATCCCACAGGAGTGTGGGGGGCCCCCCTGGCATGCTTGGTGGCGAACCTGGAAGTGGACCAGAAGTACCCGGAAGGTGGCCGAGAGGTCCTTCTGTCCCACTTCCAGGTCCACCAGGGAGTGCGCTGGGGGGCCCCCGCATTACCCTGGCTCAGTGATCAACCATGGGAGGACCCCAGGTGCCCTGCCAGACCCAGGAGGCACCAGTCGCTGAGCTGGGAGGGCATGCGCTTCCCGGTGGACCCAGAAGCGGACCAGAAGTACTTATGGTCCATTTCTGGGTCTGCTGCTGAGCATGCTGGGGACCACCCCGCACTCCTGAGGGACGCTCCATCTGCCCCACCAACTTAGCATTCACAAGCCGCCTGGTACCTAGAGGTATGTAGAAAAAACATTTAAAGCTGTGTCTATATCCGAATCGCTAGATCTTTCTGAATCTCTCTGAATCGATTCGGAGGGTTCCGATTCAATTCGATTCAGAGAGATTAAAGGGTATCCCAATTCAATTCGATTAGGAGATTCAGCCACTGAATTGGGCCGAATCTCCACTGAATCAAATCAGGGACCAAAGCTTCGCACAGTCCTGTCAGGGAGCTCCTAACCCCTGGACTGTCCACACATTAAGACATGTAAACTAGTCTTAAGCACCCTTTAGGCATCTTAAAGTTATGTCGTTCCAGGGCAGGTTTCTCTCTGATCCCAGCTCATGTTCCACTCCCAGAGATAAGCCGCCTAAGTTCCCACTCCCTGGCCACTCCCCAGAGATAAGCCACTTAAGTTTCAGTCCTGCAGCAAGTCAGGAGGCAGTGTCCCTTTTCCCCACCCTCCTCTTCTGTGTGGACAACTCACAGCTGTAGCTTCTGTTCAGGCCCCTGCTGGCCATCCCTCGAGTGGCAAGTCACAGCCATGCAGGCTGGGGACAGTCAGACAAGGTTTTCAGCCTAAATATGTAACTACTCTAAACTCAAACTAACACTAACACCAATCAATAATTGAAAAACTATAACAAGGCTCAAAGATTTCTGACTTGTTGTAGTCCTGCCTCCAGCCTTATCTACTCATTTTGTTTTGCTTTTAAAACAAAACATACCTTCTCCTACATTGTCTGAAGTTTCCTCTTTTATTCTTAAGACTGCACAAACAGAAGAGTGGAAGGACACTGTGCAACACCCAACCCTGCAGCCCAGGGATTGCCTTTAGTGAAATTAGATGGGACCGAGTCCAGTGCATGTTTTATCTGGGTAATGCCTGCACGATGTGATCCATCATGTCCATGCCAATAAAAACCCCATATAAAACATCAAATCAAAGCAATAGGGGAAGGGAATCAAAGTGGCACTGAGGGAGGATCCAAGGCTTCCTTTGTGGCACAGCTACCAAAAAAGTTGGCTCCCAAATTGAGGCCCAGACTGTCTAAGGGCTATAGGGGCCTATCTCCCAGTAAAGTGAAAACCTTAGAGAATCGGGGCCTTAGAGCTTCAATTCAAGCCTTTTCACTTCTTCAGTTCTACGAGTTTGGAGTTTAATCCCTGTTGATGACCAGGATGAAAATAATTACATTACAACATTTTTCCAAGACAGAGTTATGCCTTGCTGAGGTTGAAACTGGATCCATTGGCATCATATGTGTTTTGCTTCACTGTACTGTGCATTTCTAGGCCAGGTTCTGGACATACTTGTGTACTTGGTTGGCCAGACAAGAGTTTAGACCACTTCTCTGATGAACTTTCACTTTGATTCAAGGTTGATTGCACTGTAATTTATATCTGTGTAACTGGTCTTCAATCTGTAGGTCTCAAAACGTAACTGACAATTCAATTTTTTTTTAAACTGTTTCTACCTGGGGACTGTGCCAATGGTTTGTTTTGAAGGTAACAAACCATATTCATCACAGGATTGTCATGCCAACGCTCCATCCTAATTCCACAGTCCCACCATATTTGCCCAAAGCTGGTAGCTTCCAAAGCAGTGCTAGAACTACTCCAGTGCATGCAGCTGCTACGGTTAATGCAGGTGATGATAGGTGGGAAATTAGAACCCAAACTTCCGTCCATGCAAACTTTCCTTGATTTAAATGCATATCTTTTTATTGAATGAAGAGTTAGTTACTTTGGAGAAAAGGGGCATTGGCAGAATTCTGTTACAAAGGGGTTTAATCTCTTCACTCTTGAGCAGAAATGGTCTGGGGCAGGGAGAAGAAGTTATTAGGTGGGGAGAGTGTCACAGGGCGGGTTTTTGAAACTGCTCCTCTCAGCAGCACTGCAGTTCCAGACAAATATGAAGGGACCACAGTGTAAATTCTGACTTGCCTTAGTTAAGGTACACCATGATAATAGGGATGACGGAGGGCCACCTTGAGGACACTGAGGATACGTAAGAGGAGGTAACAGTGAGAGGATGACAGCACTTAAGGGCTTTCTGAGTATAAGGGGCACAGAACCCAGTTTCATCTATTTTGTTACTGGAGCACTTGTTAAGTAAAAATATTTCACTGAAACCTGAGGTTCTCTCCTTCCTTTGATCACAATGCACAAAAGAGTTTTCTTTCCCTGTTTCCCTTGTATATTCTAGCAATGGTGAAATAATTTATAGTACTTACATTTGTTCATGAAGTAAACATAATGTTATGATTGCAAAGCAGAATCTAGCATACTGTAAGTCATTTCCTTAGGCGATAGCAAGTTAAGAAATCCAGGGTATGCTTTACTTTTTACAAATAACTGAATGGTTGTACAGTATTTGCTAAAAGATTTTAAAGGCATCCTATGTGTAATGCAGCTGGGTTTCTGGGGCTGGTAAAATAAGAGGATTAGCCTTAGGACGTTACGTTCAACATTAAGGTAACATATCTGTTCTCAGTGACGATTCAGAGTGTTTCAAAATTCAAAGCAGAGCAATAAACTTTAAACCAAAAAAAATATCTTTTTTCTAGCAATCAG